CACGCACACGCACACCGCACACGCACACACACACACACACACACAACACACACAACACACACACAACATATATATATATATATATTATATATATATATATATATATATATATATGTATATATATATATATATAATATTATATATATATATATACACATAATGTGTGTTTCCTATACATACTTACATACAATATAAATATACATTATATATACATATATATATATATATATATATATATATATATATATATATAATGTTTATATATACATATATATGTATTTATGTGTATATATATACATATATATACATGGTGGGCATAATTGATACTAAATACGCGGCTTACTCTTTATTGCTAAGAGCTTACACAGAAGTAGAATAGAACATGATGCGAGACCGGTCAGCAGTGCCGGGTGGATACGTGGCTAGCCTGCCCTGACGAGGTGTTGGCGCGGTCAGCGAGAGGCCGGGTCGCTCTCGGGAGTGAGGGAGTCAGAGTGAGGCCTGGGTCAACCTCCGATGACCTCTTATACGGCCAGTCGCGACCCAGTCTGGCTTGGGTTATGATTAAGTGCAGGTAGACAACCAGCGCCCACGAGGGACCCACCTTAAGGTATGTCATATTGCTCAGCCACCTGCTCACGCCACGCCCTCGAAGCATCACCTGATTTACCCCGAGGGCCATCCATCATCGGACGCGATCTGCTGGTCATCTTGTCCTTGGCTGGGTCTACGGGCACCCTGGCAGGCGGCTTCCACTCCATCCTGCGCATCTTTATACCTGCATTAACGGTTCCTGGTCCTGTGGCTCACAGCGATCTTCTGACGACGTCCTTCTCATATGTCATGGGGACTGTGTTTGCAGCCGGGCCTCCTTCGGTGCTGTGGTGGATATGTAAGGTCCTTCTCAGGTTTTATCGAACCAGGTCATACACGAAAGGGCCTAGTTAGTATGAGAAAACAACAGAGGGAGGGTTGTTAAGTGCTACTAGCCAGTGTTTTATAATTGCAGTTTTTAATGTTGTTTCATTTATTTTCGCTTTTTTTTTTTTTTTTAAGAGGAAATTACCTGAAACGAGTGTTGTCTCATAGATGAAGAAAAAAAAAATATGTAAATAAGAATTGTGCAACTGGCAACATTATGGGCAAGAGAGGTAACCTGCAACTACACACAACAAAGCCTATTAATGAAGGTCTCAGTGCCTGTTGCTCTGTGTGGATGAGTGTGCAATGATTGCGAGTAATGTTGCAATTCGTAACGACTGACAAAATCGCGTGCAAAAGTCACAATTCATTACTCTTTATGCCTACAATTATGACATCTACAAACCCTACTCATGAAAAGATCAGTGTCTTTTGTTCTGCATAAATGAGTGTGTAGGTGTGAGAGTGTGAATAGCGTGAAGAGGGAGCGAGCTCATACAAAGAATGAATCACAAACACGAATATCAACGTTCATTTAAACAAGCGTTATAATTATTTTTTCCAATACATTAATTCAGCTACCACACTGAACTCAAGATTAAATGACATGTGACGGAACAAACGCAATTTTGCACGGTGACACGAACATTCTTTGCAAGCTACTGCAATGCAAACTTCTCAGTTCATATGTTTTTCACACTATTTTGAATCAGTATAATCTTAATTACGGATTCGCTACACATTCTGACAGTCTGGGGTAATTATGCCCTGGGGTAATTATGTTCAGAGTACGTTAGTCTTACATTCACAATCAGACGTCGATACAGGGTCACACAGACTCGAATTTGCCATCAAATGAGTTACTTCAGTTTCACAATTAACACACTTAGAGCGAAAGATCTATTAGATGAAACCCCATGACAATAGAAATAATAATAACATAATTATCATTGTCATTATAATTATTATTATTGTCATTATTATTTCTAAAATTATCATCAATGCTATTATCATTATAGAAATAGTTATAATGATAAAAATAGCAATAATAATTAGGATAATAATTATTCTATTAGATGAATAACTCTCTCTTTCTCCCTTTCTCCCTTTCTCTCTCTCTCTCTCTCTCTCTCTCTCTCTCTCTCTCTCTCTCTCTCTCTCTCTCTCTCTCTCTCTCTCTCTCTCTCTCTCTCTCTCTCTCTCTCTCTCTCTCTCTCTCTCTCGTCGTGCACTATGAAAGGCGGAGATTCTAACGGTATATTCTTATAATGAATTTATACATTATTCGCGGTCGTAGCTTTGTTCTCGCGCTGAGGGAACGTGTCATCATTGCGCAATGACGCCCTCAATAACAGAGAGACAGTTTCTTTGCAGTCCGCGAGTGGTTGAAGTGAGGTCGGTCGGTGGTGGGGGTGGGGGGGGGGTGGGGCAAACTGTTCACTAGAGAGAAGTAAATGATATGTATCGTTCGTGGATGCGAATAATGAAATCAGTATGAGAATAAAATGAACCAAAAGAGTCCAAAAAATGTGTGAACTTCAACAATCAATCAACGAGACTCGTACAGGAAGAGAATAGAGTACAGAGAATTCTTAAGTAATTGCGAATTACAAGGAAAAAATTCTCAGGTTGAGAGAAATCAAATATTGAATTCGTTGTAGTTGAAACAATTGAAATATCCAAAAACGAGACAATGAATTAATTAATGATATTTCGTATTTGTGACCGGGAGTCGTGTTCTCGCATCTGTTCAAAGGACATGACCTTAGGTCAAGATTGACAGAGAGTGTTGCCATTTCCTGCTAATGTAAAGATTTTAAATTTCCACTGTTAGCATTTTTAGCCAACCTAAACCAACATAAAAGCAATTGCACATTTTGCACGTCTTAACTTATGTGGGAGAAGAAGAAAGGAAAGAGAAAAAAAAATTGACCCATATCGTGTACTTACGTAGTTTTGACATCATTTCGATGGTGATGGCGAGACGATTTCGGAGGCGAGTTCTTAACGTACGTGAACGAACACCCTTCCACCAGAGATAAAAGGCGGTATACCTTCTCCATTAATCCTGGTGGGCAGAAGTGATACTAAATATGCGGCTTACTCTTTATTGATAAGAGCTTTCACGCGAGCAGAATAGAACACGATACGACACCGGTCAGTGATAGCCGTTAGTGCGGTCAGCGGAGAGGCCGGGTCGCTCTCGGAGTGAGGGTGAGTCAGAGTGAGGCCTGGGTCAACCTCCGATGACCTCTTATACGGCCAGTCGCGACCCAGGTTGGCTTGGGTTATAATTAAGTGCAGGTAGACAACCAACTCCCACTAGGGACCCACGCTTGCGGTATGTCATATATTCTATATACATATAAAAGAAAGAGGGGAGAAGGGGAGGGAGGGAGAGGCAAACAAAGAAAGAGCGAGAGAGAGAGAGAGAGAGAGAGAAAGAAAGAAAGAAGAGAGAGAGAGAGAAGAAAGAAGAAAAGAGAGAGAGATAGACAGACAGATCAGCCGAGAGAAAGGGACAAGGAGAGTGAAGGAGGGAGTAAGAGAGAGAAAAGTAAGGAGACAGAAAGACAGAAAGGGTTAAGACCTTACCGCAGACACTCAAACACACATAGACGTACAGATAGACCAAATATAAGTAGACAGAAAGCAACAAATATATACACAAAATAAACACATATCAATAGACATATACCCACAAGCATTTAATAATAATAATAATAATAATAATATAATGATAATAATAAGTATATATCCAATAGACATGCACCCACAAGCATTAAAAACAACAACAATAATAATGAAATACATAATAATGATTATCCCCCTACTCCTTTATCAATAATAATCAAATAATATATATACCCCCCATACACATTTATCAAAAAAAAATAAATAATTTACCCCCATACTCCTTTATCAATAATAATAATAATAAAATAATATACCCCCATACAATATATAAAAAAAAATAAAATAAGATAATAATAATGATATATATATCCCCATACATTTATATAAAAAAATAAATAATAAAATAATAATAATAATAACATATACCCATAACAAATTTATCAAAAAAATATATATATATGCCACATAAACATTTATAAAAAAAATTCAATAATAATAATGATAATATATACCCCATACATATTATAAAAAAGAAAAAAAAAAAGAGAAAAAAAAAAAAAAAAAACAATATATATATATATATATATATATATATAATAATATATATATTATATATATATCATATATATATTATATATATATAATATATATATATATCCCAACACATTTATATAAAATAAAATGATAATAATGAG